GACACTTCACTGTGCTGGGTGGCAGTGACTCACGCACTAGCACACGTCAGAATCTTCTGGAAAACTGCCGCCCAACCTTCTGAGTTTCTGACTCAGTGGGTCTCAGGTCAGGCCTGAGAATCTGCACTTACAGTGAGATCCTAAGTGATGCTACTGGTCTTGGGAACACATTTTGAGAATAACTGTTCTAATGTATGCCTAAGGTATGGCGGAGGGCTTGTTCCCGGAAGGACAGCATTTTTTCCTAAAAAATGATGAATACAAAATGCAAAAGTGCAAAAAATTATAGAAAGGCTACATAAAGATGAAGGGAGAGATGACAGGTGTCTTTGAATCTTCCTATTGTATTCAAACCTGCTTTACGTCTTACATTCTGGTAGGTAGGACACCAGATTCCTCAGTGTGCTTTGTAGTAATGTTACCTACACCATCTTTTCGGCTCCTTTTATTAAATTCCAAGTTTCTCAAGGACTGTACTGGTCAATTTTGACTCCTCAAGTGCCTAACACAGGAATCTTCAGAGAGACAGTTTGCTTTTTGGGGCCAAATTCCTTTGTTTTCTTCTCACATTATGTAGAAAATTCCTAGCCAAATCACAGCTCCAAATTCTCTCTTCATTTGGCATATAGAGCTGTATTTTTTTTTTTTTTTTGGTTAAACTAAGAAATCAGTAAAGCAAAATTCCAGGTGTAAATCCCATGCGCTATCTATGCACGCAGTTGGTGCTATGTGAGTGACAGACACAATAAACAAACAGAACGGAAATCACAGACTGCTTTGAAATGGAAACTTCAGGCTGGAAGTCAGCTCTGCTCAGAGAAGCACCACAGTTGGCAGGGTATGCTCATACCCTTCCTGTCACACAGAAACAGGAGGCCGAGGAACAGACAGTGGCAAAAGGAGGGTCTCTGAGGGGTGGCAGGAAGCAAGGAGGAAAGTGTTCCACCTTTGTGTGGGTGAGATCACCAGGTCAGAGCTTACTGTCAGCCTGAGGGGATTAAGGCACTGCTAAATGGATTGCAAAATAAATGCGCAGAGCTTTTCTTCCTCCTTCCTTCCTGGATGCACACGATGAAGTCTGCAGCCCTGCTATGCTCTGCGTCCCTCTGCTGAAGTGGCCTCAACTTGTTCCTGCAAGGTCAGCTGCTCTTTAGGAAAGGGTGCTACCAAGTCCCCTGGGCACAGGGTGGCACATGGTGCAAGCTCACTGGACACAGCCCAGGCTGGTCTGGATAAAGGCTCTCCTCTGCGTGCGCAAAGCACTGAGCCTACTTCTTTTTTTTTTTTTTTTTTTTTTTTTCCTGAGCCTACTTCTTTTTTTTTTTTTTGGTTTTTCTCCGGTACCAGGAACCGAACTCACGACCTTGCGCTTGCCAGGCAGGCGCTTTGCCGCTGAGCTAAATCCCCAGCCCCTGAGCCTACTTCTTGACCTAACGGGGTGCTGAGGAGATGCTGAGATCACCAGCCTTCGACGCTTACTTGAAAAAAGCTTCTGGCTGTGTGTAACATCAAACAATCTGACAGGAATTTAAATAGATGTAAAAGGAACGTGAAGCAGAAAATATTTAATGACAGGCAGCAGTTCCTTTCAGTGCACAGAAACACACTAGAAAATGATATTTATAAATGAAATGTAACCATTTAATTGTACCATGCTTTAATGAATTGCTCCACTAGATTAATTTGCCTATAAAAATAAATGTGTTTTCCAAATGTCTATACTGCTATAGGCAGGTCTAAAATGCATGTATAATAAGCCTCTATCTGATTAATAGAGTCCTTTAATTTTCGGTTCAAATGAATGATGGAGCGTCTGAAAACCAATCCCTTAGGAGCTTCAAGGTAAAATTTCTGATTTCTTATGAGGGAGCTGGACTTGCAAGGAAAAGCAACACTATCAGATGCCACTGTGTAAATAAGAAAACATATTTCAGGATCCAACTGGCACCAGACGGGACCTCGTGCAGGGATGCTGCTATATCCCACATGTTCAGGTGACATGCCTACCTTTCCCCTGAAGGCCATCTGAGCCCTACGTTCAGTATCAAAGGGGAGTGGAAAGACAGACATTCCACTGACAGGTGTCAAGAGCTAGCAGAAAGTGAACACACGAAGTGCCCAAAATAAAACCTGAATCTGAAGATTTTATAAACCTTGATGGATAAACTTAGGAGAAACTAACCTCTAGGCAACATGCACTTTTCTCTCTCTGGAGTCTCCAGTCCTCCCTGAGGAGAAGACTTGATTTCTTGGAAGATCACCTGAGTGGGTTCTGACTGTCTCTTGGTGCAGACACTGTAGCATTTTGGTGGAGATAAATTTGTGTTGTGTGGCTCAGTCCTGGACATTACAGTGGTGAGCATACATACTTGCTCTGCCTCTGGACCTGCCGCAGTTACTGTGAGAAGCAGAAGTGCCCATATCCATCTGTCACAGAGCCACTGGACGGGGCAGACAAGGTCTCTGTCCTCTCCCTCTGGAAGCTAACAGGACCACCCAGTTAGAACAATGGTGCTAGGTATGCTACCTGGGGGACATGAGTGACCAACAATGGCCCCATAGACTGCTTTCAAAGTTCTCTGCACAAGATAGCACAGGACAGTCCCTGAAAAGAAGCTTGTTCTCTCCGAGAGGGGTGTGTGGTGCTTTGACTGCTGTGCCGAGCTGATACTGGATTGAGATGTAGAAGACCACTGGGAAGTTTGCTACCATTAATGTCACCTTTTGTGGGCATAGAAGACAGTAAGAAAGAACTAGGCCAAGTGCTATATATAGTTCGGGTCTGGAATGTTCCCTAGGTGCCACGTGTTAAAGGCCTGGTTGTCAGACTGTGGCATTCTTGGGAGGGGAAGGAACCTTTAAGAGGTGGGGGCTACAGAGAGATGTTGGATCTGGGGCCGAGCACTCACATGGGGACCATGATTCACCTCTCTCACTGTCTCTCACTCTGCTTCCTCGTCACCACAGCTTCCCGCACCACAGGCTCAAAGCAATGTGGCTACATGACATGGTTGGAAATGCCTCTACAAACATGAGCGAAAAGACACCTTTCCTCTTTCAAGTTGCTTATCTTAAGGAGCTTTCTGTCAGTGTGATGAAGTTCTTAACACAAGCTGGGGCAGACAGCTCAACAGAAGCTGGTTTCCCATAGATCTACATGCCTCTTCAGAGAGCCGGAGAGACGAAAGTCCTATTGTTTCTATGCCGTCATGCAGTTGTCCCGCTGGAAGACCTGCCTCCCTGTGAGGGGCCGGAGGAAGCACGGAAGGAGACTTCCCTCAAAAGCACTGACTTCCCATGCTTCCTCCTTGTGGGAAGGGCTATTTAAGGAGAAGACACACACACAGAACTGCAGGGGGCTGTAGGGCTTCTGAGAGACAGACAAGGTTTGCACATCCCAGATGAAGCAGCTGAGTAAGTCCTATCTGTAACACTGACATTAGTGGGCAATAATGTAAATTACTCCTGGGCTTATACATGCTGAGATGCTAGTCGTAGGGCTGAAAGTTGCAGCATGGGATACTGTACATACTACGGGTAGTTAAGAAAAGGGCGGGCTCTGAAGTGCTTCCTCTGAGCATCCTGCAGCAAGTCACACATGCAGGCAACTGCGGCAGGTGCAATGCAAAGTTGCATGATGAGGAAGCAACGAGAGGGGATCTGGTGACATTCACACAGCACCACAGGGAACTGCAGCACAGCTGGGGGCTCAAAGTCATCATAATTAGGGAAGCAATGGAAATATGACCTATTCAATATTCTCAGCCTGGCAGAGCCTGGACATGTGACCACCACAGGCATCCATTCAGCTAAAAACCTAGAGCAATCACTACTCCTGTTAGTGCCTTTCCCAGTTGTCGGTCCTTCCTCTCAGGCGGTAGACCCCCTGTGGCCCGCCCTGTACATCTGTGTGTTGACTGTCCATCTGTGCTGTTGAGCTTAAGGTAAACATCTCACTTTACCAATCACTACTTTTTTCTCGCAAGACCATTAACATAACAGCCATAGGAATATTCTGTCTGAGATTAGAGACTCTTATTTACTGTCTTCTGTCTGTCCCCCCTCATTCTATGTTACGCCAGCACACACTTTGGGAATATGTGAGAGGACATGGAAAGGGGAATGGCTCATTGGGTGTGGCTTAAAGGGTATCAATTATGAGCAGGTGAAATGGAATGAAACTTATTTTGGTGAGTTCTAACTTGCTGAAAATACCTGGTTCTGGTTTCAGTAATGAGCTGTCCATGTGGGGTCTCTAGAATGGCTATTTGCAGTTCTGTGAGCTGGGGTATGTAACACTGGGATGCCATATGTGCATGGTAAGTGTCTCTGTCTTCCTGATTTGTCCACGATTCTAGGTTTGGGCATTCTGGTGGAGAACTCATGCTTCTAGAGCTCTGTTTCCATGGGGTCAAACCCATTTTGATTGGCTTACAGTAGCTGTGAATGTCTTAAACCAGATGAAAATGGTTCCTGCATGATCAAACAGGATTGGTCCTTTTAAGTCTTGATAAAACAGATTCAGACAGGTGATGGCTGATTCAAACTAGTTTAAACTGGGTTAGACTTGCACTAACGTGGTTAGACTAGCCAGGTTAGACTGATCAAGTGTGTTCAATTTATATGCGTAAGCCAGTTCAATCCAGCTTGAACACAATCAACAGGTTCAAAAGCAGTGGCACCTAGTTTCCACCAACTCTGTGCATGAATGTTCAAGTCACTGACTTCTACCAACTTTTCACTCTGCAATCATATTTTTCTCACGAGTCGCCATTTAGAATAACCTACATAGTGTGTAAAGACTCCAATACACATTGGAAATCCTCTTCTGTTGGAAGTCCTCTTCTGTTTAATAGTGTTAGGAGGGACAACTGCCTGCAATGCTATCTCCTTCCACTCTCTAAACTCAGGACCAGACCCCACAGTGTGGGATGATGCTGTGGAGAGCTCAGGTGCCCGCAGCTGCCCACCGTCCTCCTTCCACCACGCGGCCCTCTCACCTTGATCCTGCTTACTGCTTCCTGGGCCTGCATCATGCGCACATTTTTGGAGGGAGTTTTGTCTGAGAGCAGCTGGGTGGAGCCAAGGTAATTGGCAGCAAAAATGATTCCATCAATCAAGTCTTCAGGGTCACAAGGTCCAGGAACTGTAACACACAGAGCCGCAGCAGTGAGTGAAGCCACCCTGGGGAGGGCCCGCCATAACCCAGAAGGTGCACCATCCTTCCCATGCTCATTCCTGGCAAAGGTGGGCCAGGTACGGAGACCCCTGGGCAGGTGGGCAGCCCGCTGGTCTGAGGCACTTTTGTCTGCCTTCACTCACCCCTCCTTTTTAGAGAGAAGGCTCAGTTTCTTAGGCACTTCCCCCAACCCAATCCATGTACTGTGAGAAATGGTGCAAGCATTTACTTAAATAGGAAGCATAAAACCCAGCAATGAAAGATGTTGTTTCTCTTAAGACACTGAGGTCTTCCTGGACAAGGACCATGACATATTCATCTTTGAGTCTCATGTCTGTCACCTCGTGGGTATAAACTGGATTTTGCTTGGTATCAACTGGATTTTTCTAGATAAATGATTGGGTGAATGAAGACTTTTATTGGAAATTGTGATTTTATATACCACTTACTATTACTTGACACTCACTCATATCTCCCTCTTCCATAGTGCAGTAAATGATTTCCATAAATTAGAAAAATGGGATATTTGTTTTGGAATATCTGGATTCCTTTAATGGCTTCTGACCCTAATTCTGAAAGCTATATATAACATTTCCCCCAAACCACGGTCCCATACTGCCAACTTACACACCATATTTACCATCTGTGCCCTCACACAGATCAATTTGAAGGAAAACCAGAATTTTGTTTTCTCGTTCTCCATTCTAGCAAATCAAACCTTAATTTAAAATATTTTCAGTACAGGCATCTGATTCTAACCAGAATCACCTGTAACCTGTACATGAAATTAAAACATATTTGGGGCCAACATAACTTTATAATAGGTTCACTGAGAAATTGAAACATTTTCTTTGACTTGAAAAATGCCAAATCTGGGGGAACTAAAATATACATTTAACCCACTGTTGAAACCTCAGCAACCTGAAACGGAAAGTTTGCTTTTCCTCTTGGAGGGCTTATCTGAAATGGTTTTTATTTTTATCTTTAACCATCAAACTCATCTCAAGTTTACACAACTGCTTCCCATGATAAGCTACTTACCAGGGTATAGACTTAAATGATCTATTTATTTTTCTAAAACTGAAGTGGTAGTTGAACAAAGAAATTACAAATATTTTAGAAAAGGCCTTCATAAAGCATCTTGTAGTACTGCAATAAGTAAGGAAGCCTGGTGCTTGTCCTGTTCCCGATCTTTCTAGGGAAGACTTTTGGTTATGCATTCTAAGTGGTATGCAGCCAACTGCCTCCATGGCCCACCAGAAATTTACCTTCCCAACAGTTATTAGACATACACTGTAAGACTGCCAGTCTTCTGAAAAGTTCCCAGTGGTGAGCTTACAATGGTAATCATTTTTCCTGACTTGATGTTGAAAAAAAGAAAGAGCTCATCTGGAGTACTTTTAAAAAACTATTTTGAATGCTAAAAGAAAACAAAAATTAACCCACCCTTTCTATGGGACTTCCAGTACCATCTGTTCATCTCTGATTAGCTCTATTCACTGAAAAGTGCCCCCTTTTAACCACAGTAAGTGTGAGATTGCAGGTATGTTTAAAAGGAACCCAAATAAGCATAAATGCCAATCATCTAAAGACAAAAAAATTGGATGCAAACAAATTTTAAGGTTAGATATGGTCTTATGCCATTTATCTTTCCAGGAAATTGACTTTAGTCTGGGTGCTGGTGTATTTTTTAAAAAGCAAAGCTGTAACAACCCTACATCAAAAAATTTCAGCTTTCACCGTGGCCCTGTGGAACATGCTTCTCCCTTCCTTTTGGGAGGCCCTGTGGGAGAATGAGCACATGTTACATCTTCACACCCAGACTGATGCTGAGCCTCAAATTCCCGAGGCCTGCTGGATGGCTACGAGGAGGGGAGTTTCCAAACCTCTGAGACTTTGCTAGCAGTTCTCATGGCATTTTGGAACTTCTCCCCCCACCCAATGGTGCAAATAGTTTATACCTTGCTCAGTAAGAAACCTACCAAACTATTAGCTTGTCCCAGGGTTCAGGCCCATGTGTTCATGAGGGTTTATGAATTCTGGGAACTCATTTCCAGCCAGCAAAACACAGCAGCAGTTCATTCGCAGGACCCAAAGACTGGACATAGCTTCCTAAAGAGTCTCTTCAAGGAGGTAGGACTCTGCCCTACCCCTGGTGCAGTGTCAGTGTTATCTGTAGCCATAGGGTGACTCTGGGAATGAGGACTACGCGCTGTATTCGGGAGGCATGATCTCCAGCCGTGGGCTGTGTTTTGAGCCCATTGGTCTTCAGCCCCGAAGAGAACACTGGCTCCAGAGAAAATCACGAAGTTCACTGGCACCAGAGGCTGACTTCACAACCTGGCTCTGCTACCTGCTAACTGCTTGACGTCAGGCAGGTTATTCACCCTCTTGATACCTCCATTCTCTTATGCGGAACATGAGGATAACTGAAAAACCCACTTCATGAGAGCTCACTGTGGGAGTCAATTAGTATCACATGCAAAATGCTTAGAAAAGTACTTGCTGGAGACTAACTGTTTGTTAAATGTTACTGCTAACAGTTCATCCAACTAAGAGATGGGACTTACTGGGAATGCTTTTCTCATATGAGGACCAAAGTTTCTTCACTAAATTCATCCCACTTGAAGTGCTCTTGCTGGATGTAGGAGACGTATTGGGTACAAGTAAGGAGACCTGGCTAAGCTGTAGCACACTGGGGGAAGCCCACAGGTTCAGGGTCACTATCTGCCTGGGAAGGATGATTTCTGAGAGGTGCACTGGTATTATTCTTTCAGTTTAAGACCCTAAAATTGTTAACACTGGAGTTAGTAACTTTATGGCTTTTCTTCCACGTTATTTCTCTTTTCAGTGCTTCAAATGCCTCAGATAATGAAAAATGCATGATGATTCAGTGCTCAATATTTTCTTTTCAACTCTTACCTTCAACGTAGGTTGGGAATGAAGCCAAGCTTTTTCTTGACTGTAATTAAGACAAAGAGGTTTCAAAAAGGGCAGAGCATGATGAAATGTACATCAACACAATCATCCAGGCAACACGAAAAAAAAAACACATCACCGTGGCATTTGTTAGCCAGTTTGACTATTTACGGGCAAAGACGGGGTGGACAAACATGCATTTATTATTAAAGGTTATCTAGAACCGAGAGCAGTCTGATCAGATTTCAGATAATCAAAAGACCCTGCATATTTCAGAGAGGTGTCTGTCAGCTTCAAAAATATCCTACAAACCAAAATCTACATCCAGAATCATCAGTAAAAAAGGTACAATTTATTCTTAAATCTGAGTTCCATGTGAAAAACTGTTGGTTAGTAAGAGACCCAACATCATGATTGTATATAAAATTAAAAATTCCCTTAGAGCATTTTACTTAGGTCTTTGTTTCAAGAATCTCTCTGCTAAAAATGTGTGCTAGTTTTACCCCTCTTCCTCCTTTCACTCTTACTAATTCAGTTGAAAAATGTCATTATATAAATCATTATTGTATGTTAGCTTAAGACAGGAACATAACAAAGGAATAAATTAAAAGCCTGGAACTTCTTATATTAAGTAACATCTCATAGCAAAGGAAAGGCTTCTAACAGCATGGCTGGAAGTGGATGGGATGAGCTAGCACCTTCTAGAACCTGACTGCATGGCAGTTTAAATGCAAGCACTGAGACAAGCACAACTTGCCATGGGTCCCTCTTAGAAGCAAATGTCCTGGACAAAACTTTATGAGAACCGAGAGTAGGGAATTCATAGGAACAGAACCTGCAGCAGGCAATCCTACTGCAGGGTGACGCATGTCTCCCAGGAGCGCTCACACTAAAGATAAGAATCCCTAACATGGCAAAAGGTAGGATGTGCATAGCCAAGACTTTCACTGCTGAGGATCCTCTAGGTATTACGTTACTGTTTACATATATGTCTTTTAGATTTAGAAAATGGGGCCGAACTCAGCCTAGCTGCTCCAGAGGCTGACCTGAAGAGACAGTGTATCTGGATGCCTGGGAGCTATAGGAGTAGGCTCTGGGGAAGGACTGGGGTCTCATGAGAAGAACTTTCTTACCCGACCTAGCATTGTGTACTATGCTCTCTACTTGAAAAAATGAGAATGCAAAGGGATGATTAATGTGTATAAAATATTCTACAAATTGTAGCGTTAACTGTTCAGTGAAAAACTGGGGCACTCAAAGAAAACCTAGTTTTAAGACTCTAACACCATTCAGGATGATGACAAGAATTGCACAGCTGCCCTGTGTCGTGAATCACAGAACACACCGCATGGGCCCCTTTCGTGTAAGGGTACTGCAGATGTGCTCGCTGGCAGGAAGTGGCTCCTCATTTCTAAGAAGCTGGGGCTCTTGAGCACCAGGAACAAAAGGTTTCTGGCCACCAATGCATACTAAGTGCACACTGGGTTAAGTGGATAGGAGTGAAGGACTGTAAACTCAGCAGGGCTTTACATTACTTTTTCTTTCCACTTACAAGTGAAAAGACAGGCCCAGCTGAGTTTAAGCCCCTCTAGTTCTGGTTCGTTTAAAGAAGAAAATCTGTAACTGCATGGTGTGCAAATGGAAGTCAGCCTCTTCGTAAGGGCCAACATTTTAAAATTATTACTTCACAGACCATCTCCCTGTCCTGTCCCCAAAAGCTAAAGCTCTGGGATTGGTCTGCAGTATGAGTTTACCTTGTATGATCAAAATGGCTTAGCCTCTAGGTATATCCAAGAAGCTATGCAGATTTTCTTTGGCTATCAGGATACCTTTTCTCAGTGCTAATTTTGAAGAAAATGTCCAGATTTCAGCAGAAGCTACAGAAGAATTACTTTATAGCTATAAAAGCTATGATTTTATTTAGAGCTACGGTGGTGGACATTTGGTTCATTTACTTATTCTCTATTCCTGAGCTCATGACTACCTTTCTTTTAGTCTCTGGGGTAGTAAATTTTCTCTAAAAAGGAGATTTGCCATATGAAAGAATCTCTGTTACTTACAAAGCAGATTTTTATCATTATTTCTAACGATCTGCAGAAACACATGCCAAGCCTTATAGGAACAGAGAAGCTAACATATACGCCTTATTACATCTGATGCATAAGCAAAGGCTGATCCTAGTCGGACGTCTGACTGGCCTTTTGTTTTCTCATGTGTGGACTGTGAAGAAGCCAGCTGACCCTTAGCACTGAAGAACTAATAAGGCTGCATTTAAGAAGCAAAAGGCCAAGATCCTTGGGGTTTTTCTGGGGGTCACATAAAACACTGTAGAGGCTGGAGCCTGACAGCTGGAATAATGATGCACAAGTTACCTTGCGCACACAGTCTGTGGCCTGCAACCATGTTCCTCTTTAGGGGCCAGCACTTCCTGGCAAATAGGATGTCTGGATTCAAATTCTGGTTGACCATTCGTGAGCTCTGTGACCCCAGGTAAGTTACTCAGCCTCTCAGCTTGCTCAATAATAAATAATGACAATGGCAGCTGCTACCTCAGAGAATAATCTTAAGGACTAATGGGATACTAATCTGTGATTCTCAGCCTGGAGCACTGTAAATGCTCAATTGATAATTAGCACCTATTACTGTGGCTGTCATTCTTTCTTCTTACTATTTTTGTCCTCACTCACCCATATGCTATGAATACGTATGAAGCTATATAGAAGAGGTAGGGGGAACTGGGACTTGGTCATTCCTGTTTCAGCAGACTGAGGTTTGAGGATAGACCAGAGAAGGACAGAGTATATTTTCAATCTAAATTCTAATGTTAGGGTCATATTAAAGAAGGTATATGTTCTAATTGTTTTCACTATTTTTTATTCTCTCTAAAATAAAAAGGTCTATATGTGTTTAAGATAAACAGTAATAAAAAAATATACTTTTTTGCATGAATAATATGTGTATCCCATGATATGCTAAGGGTAAGTTAAACTAAGACTTGCTTTGCCAGTCAGGCCAAAACAGACTATTTTCTTACATTGCATTTAGCATACATTTATCTGCAAAACAAGGAAACATGAGACAGTCATTCGTTATGCCGCTTACCTCTTTAACCTATCTCCTCAGTGTGGATGAGGGAGAAACTTTGCAAATGTATTGGGAACAAGCTGAGCCCACACACAGATTACTGCCCAGGCCAGTACTTCCCTGAGGATGGGCCACAAATAGGATGACAGTCACCTGTATGTCGCAGGACACTGGATACTGGCAAAGGCAGTGGCTTCTACCTCAGAAAAAACACCTGACCCCAGAACTTTTCTAGCCCCAGAACTCAGGAGGAGCAGGTAGCATCTTTTCACTGGGATACTGTATGGCAGAGCTGTTTGTCCTCCACAGGAAGGGCGAACATACACTTTGTCCAAAAGGGATCTTAGGGCTGCTCTTTCAGTAGCCCCTGGCTGCATTTCATGTCGCTATTTAAGTTAATTTAAAAAATCAGTTCCTCATTCCCCCTGGCTGCATGTCGAGGGCTTACTAGGTGCCTGAGTCTAGTGAGCTCCCTACAACTGGACAGCAGTACAACACTCACACCGTAGAACATTCTCTTGGACAGCACTGCTTTAGAAGGAGGTCAGGGTGCTCCCCAGATAGGTTGCTTAAACAGTCAGTACGAACTGGAACCATGACTGGAAGAAAATGACATGTGGTCACCCTGCTCTTATGAAGGACATTAAGGCTTGAAATAAATGCTTCTTTAAGAAACCAACCCATTTTCTAAGCTACACAGCAGTCGCCAATCTATGGTATCAGAAGGTGTCTAATGGCACAAGGAAGAGTGCTGACAGAGTTTTTGACGTTCAGAGCTGTCCAACAGAACATTCTGCAATGATGCTAAGGTTTTGTCGCCTGCTTCACCCAATACAGTAGCCATTACCCACGGGATGCTACTGAGCACCTAAAATGTGACATAAAGTTTTCATTTTATTCATTCATTAAACTAGACATCTGTGGCTAGTGACTACCAAGTGGGGCGGCATGGCTTTCACAGACAAACCACACACTGGAAAGGAGCTCTATAGGGGCCGAAGGAAGCACAGAGCAGTATTAGAATAAAACAAAACAGGCTGACGGTTTCGCAAACAAGCAGCGCCCTACCTCTTTGTTTGTGGAGGTTTCCGCGGGGTCACTGGGATGAAGGGGTGTACTTGACGACTCTGCTCCCAGAGGTGAGGAACTGCCAGGAGACGGAGACTAGAACACAGCAAGAGGACAGCAGTGAGAATCTGAGCAACATCTCCTCAGGAGCCCAGGGGAGGGAGATGGGCGAGAGGGGCAAACCAGAACACAAAGGGACACTGGAGCTGGCAAAAATCCCTTAGGAAAGAAACTGCTAGTGTACAGAACAAGCCAGGGGCATTTACGTTTTCTTTTCAATATTGGCCATCTCTTTGAAGAAATTTTATTGCTCTGGTCCCCCCCTCTTAGGTTAGAGGTTGAAAGAAACTTTAAAAGTGACTATTAAACTTATAGTCCTCAATGAAGAGAGCGAAAGGTATTACACAAATACCTTTTTTCCTTAAAGATACATATACTTAGGTTACCAAATGTCATACGAAATTGCCTGCCCAGCCAGATGTGGTGGTGCACACCTGCAGTCCCAGCACTCTGGAGGCTACGGCAGAAGGATGGTGAGTTCCAGGCCAGCCTTAGGTATACAGTGAGACCATTTTAAAAACAAAACAACCAACAGTAATAAAACACCAAAAAATAACCAAAAAAATCTGCCCAAGATTTGAATGGAAAAATAAAAATTTAAACACCTATTTTTAAAGAAACAACTGGGCTAATTTTGGTGATGAGAAACTATATACCTGTATTTTACTATTCAGTTCAGACTCCAATTATGTTGCCTGATTTAATCCATAGCCCACTGAAAATTCAGAGATGTTTTGGCATCCAAATCACATTATCTTGGGTACTCTTAAATGATTAAGAAATCCTTTGTCAAATGACGTTTGGCTTTAAAAACTAAGCTTGGGGAGGAGCATGGTTCCTTCCAGGTGTGGCGGTGCCTCAGTGGATGGGTGCAGCCCTGCACAGGCGGGGCCTGCTGGAAATCAACGGGAGAACCCTGTTCGGCACACGAAACACACCAGCTGCTCCATAAATGTCTGCTGAGTGAGTCACCAAATCAAGCAAGCAAACACAGGAATGGACAAATAGAGGTCTGGAAACACGCTCCGATCGCAAGGGGCATTTCTGTGTGCTCCTAAAATCTTGGGAGATGATGGGTCTCCCCGGTGAGTCTCAGAGGTCCTCCGCAGTTCTGCAGCATTGGCCCTCCGAGAGGAAGAATGCAGTGCTTCACAGCTGGCATAAAACACAGAAAGAAACTACACAAGGTAAATTCTCTCAGGAGCGTGGGGACGTGGGAGAGCCAGGAGCAGGAAGTTTCAGGCAGGCAAAGCAAACAGCACTAGTGTTTGCTCAAGTCTGTATTTGATCTCGTGAGAGTGGCCCTCTTGGCGAAGCAGAGGTACAAACATCAGTGAAATACCTCTGCAAGGAAAGGGAGCATGTTTCACACAGCAGTGGTGCTGGGTGCTGGGAGCACATTTAGAGATGAACGGACCTCAGTGAGCATTATGTGAAATTTGAAAAAATCTTTTACGGGAAATACAGGGGGTACCAAATAAACCAAAAGATGATGTGGTGAAAAGAGTTACGCAGACCAAGAAGTTGCATGATGCGAGCCCACAGCTGTGAGGCTCGGATTTGTTTCCTGTGAGCCCACATATCACCCCATCGAGGCAGGGAGCCGAGGACCAATGAGCTCCTTAAGTATTTCACACGCAGGAGCCAGACACTCTGTAGTAAAGCCAAAGTACCTCATGGCCCCTGGCCACAATAAAGCAGCCCTGCAGGCCTATAAAAAGAACTCAGAATTTTTTCTCTCAGCACCCAAGAGATTTGGTAGGTACTTGCTGATTTAGCACGGTTTGGTCTGCTCAAAATTACTATAGGAAAGTATAAGAATTTAATGCCTTTAAATTTCCTCAATTTTTCAATTTTGAAGAGCTTCCTTTGATATTTACAGCTCGATTTCCACCCTCCACCATATAACTTTTCTCTGCCATAGGTTATAATGGTCTAGTCCCTGAGAAAGCCAGTGCAGTTAATTTTTCTTTAACTCCTTGGTTTTTGGACTGTGTATCATATTCATTAAAAAAATCCCCGAGAGTCCTATCTTTCCCATTTCTTTGTTTTCTCCTCCAATGTTCTAAAAATAAACTCCTTACAACCTTGCCAGTGCCAGACCACCCCGAGGCGCTGTGAGCAGTCAGGTGATCTGGAAGGTGGGCAGGGTTGTGAAGAGGGAGCTCAGAGAGCTCACTGCAGTGCAGCTGAGTGTTCATCAGCAGGGGCCTGCCAGGGAATGGAGGGGAAGAAGAGTAACTAAGTTGGGGGGCTCCCTCACAAGGGGAGGACCCACTCCACTCCACTCCAACCTCATCGGGGACCACTTCCCCTCAGACGCCACATGCTCTAGGCTTCTGCTCACGTACAAGCTCACTTGAGTTTTCTTCCGTGTGCATATGCAACGAATGACCTCCACCTACAGAGTTCCCCTCATTCTCTCCTGCATTCAGGGTCCACTTTACAAGCACTCTTTGTGCAGCACATTTCTCCCCTAATGTCATGTCCCATGTTCTGGAACGTTTAGGTATATGCTTCTCCTCCATCAAGAGCTCTGAGGTGGCAGAGATCTTGTCTCCTGCCTCTTCAATACTCAAGTGCCTCGCCTTGGGTCCTGTAAACAGCAGGTATCAACAGATGCAGGCACTGAATACATGATTTCAACGTGCTTTCTAGCTTTACACTGTTTTCAATTTGCATGGGAAGCAGATGTTACAGATCTGCCCACACCTTTCCTAGATTATACTTTAGCAGCCAATGGTAAACCCTTTTAAAGTTCTTTTGAAAGATAGCTGTCCTAAAAAAAAAAAAAAAAGAGGACCCCATCACACAAAAGCCTACAAATCACCACATGGTACTGTTGGCCAAATTCAGGGTGGACAAGCACGTTCAGAAAGACTCAGTCCATGGGGGCTGAAAGGGATTCAAATGTCTGCTTCAAAGGCCTGTTGCCAGGTACCTCCAATTTTTGCTCCCAGATACACTTTTTTATGGGGAGTACCAGGAATCAAGCTTAGGACCTTGCACTTGCCAGGCAGGTGCTATGTTGCTGAGCTATATCCCCAGCCCCTGGATATACTCTTGAAAGTGGGAAAAAACACTGTTTACTGTATTGGAGCAAAATGTAGCCAACAACATGGGAGAGAAAAAGTGAAGATTATCATTAACTTTCCGTCTGGAGTTTCATGCGCTCTGGACTCCTGGGGGGATATTCAACCTGAGGAAAATGAGACGAAGGAAGGGGACTTGGGACTTCATGAATATCAGTGCTGGGGAGGCTCCCTTGTGTTCTATATCCTCAAGCCCATGTTTACTGGTGTCACAGACCCTAAGCATCACCTATGCTCATCTGGTGAGACCCAACAAGGTCCTGTCCCATCCTGAGGCTCTGTAATGGTGGCTGCTGGTGCCATAGGCTCAGTGTCTCCCAGATCCACCCTGAAGGACCCCAGGGATCCTCCGGCTTGTGGCTTAGGGACTGGGGCTGCTACTGCCACAACCCTTGGCATCACCTGTCCTTGTCCTGAGAGATCTCAGCACGGTCCTTTCCATAACCTGCACCACGGAGACTGTGGCAGCTGCTCCCACAAGCTTCAGTGCCATCAGGGCTCAACTCTGCAAAGCCTCAAGGCACACCCCAGAAGCCACATCCACTGCCAAGTGACACAACTACATCCAGGAATTGCTGCAGTCTACTGAGGCTGCCAACACCAACAAGAACAAATCAGAGACCATGCTTTTGAGCTCCCCTATAAACAAACCCTCATCTGCCCAGCTGAAATCCTACATCCCAGCTAAATGAACAAATCTTTTCCTACAAGAGTGACTTCATAAGTTAGAAGAATAAACACACCCGATGTGCAGACATCATGCAAGGATGTAAGAAACATGAGACATATGTCTAAATGAGACAGTAACTCTCCAGGAATAGATTTCGATTTGGAGGAAGTCTGAAATGTCTGAGAAAGAATTTAAAATAATGATCCTAAGGAAACTCAGTGAGATGCAAGAGAATACAGATAAATAATTCAAAAAAATGAGAAAAACAGCTCAGGATATTAATGGGAAACTCACCAAAGAGATTGAAATAATAAAAGAGAACCAATCAGAAATCTTAGAAGTAAAAACTTCAATCAATATAAAGAAAGATACAATAGACAGTTTCCACAACAGACCAGGACAAGGGTAAGAAAGAATCTCAGAAGTTGAGGACAGGTCTCTTGAATTAATTAATTAAGAAGAGCAAGAAGAAGGAGGAGGAGGGGAGAAAATGGGGAGGATGAGACAGAGGAGATCAAGAAAATGATGAAGAGGAAGAAAGAAAGAAAATACAACAGGCATTAAAATACCTGACCTCAAAACACACTACAAAGCTGCAGTAACTAAAATAGCACAGTACTGGCATAAAAGAAATGAAACAGAACATGACCACATTCACATGACCAATTGATTTTTGACAAAGGCATCAAGAACATACAGTGGGGAAAAGACAGTTTCAGTAAATAGTGCTGGCAAAACTGGATATGCATATGCAGAAGAATGAAATTAGATCTCTTCCTTTTGCCATATATAAAAATCAACTCAAAGTGGATAAAAGACTTGGAACTATCAAATTAAGACAGTACTACAGGTGTTAGTTTTAAATGGAATCCCAAAGACACAGGCAACAAAAGAAGAAATACACAAATGGGATTACAGTAAACTAAGAAGTTTCTGCATAGTAAAAGAAATGCTCTATAGAATTAAGAGACAACCTACAGAATAGGAGAAATTACTCGCAAACTGTTCATCTGAGCAAGCATTTACAACCAGAATATACAAGAAACTGAAAAACTGAAAAAAAAAAAAAAAAAAAAAAAAAAAAAAAAAAAATCCAATTTAAAAGTGGGCTGAAGAACCAAACACTTCTCAAAGGAAGATATACAACGGGAACAGGTACAAGAAAGAATGTTTAAGTTCACTCATCGCAGAGAAATGGAAATCAGAACCACACTGAGACAGCATCTCATCCAGGCAGAATGGCTATCATCAAACAGAATACAATAAATGCTGAT